TTTCCATAACGTTTCGTTAAATGTTTAAGGGATGTTTTTATAACATTTCCATAACGTTTCGTAAAATGTTTTAGGGATGTTTTTATAACATTTCCATAACGTTTCGTAAAATGTTTAAGGGATGTTTTTATAACATTTCCATAACGTTTCGTTAAATGTTTAAGGGATGTTTTTATAACATTTCCATAACGTTTCGTAAAATGTTTTAGGGATGTTTTTATAACATTTCCATAACGTTTCGTAAAATGTTTAAGGGATGTTTTTATAACATTTCCATAACGTTTCGTAAAATGTTTAAGGGATGTTTTTATAACATTTCCATAAAGTTTCGTAAAATATTTAAGGGATGTTTTTATAACATTTCCATAACGTTTCGTTAAATGTTTAAGGGATGTTTTTATAACATTTCCATAACGTTTCGTAAAATGTTTTAGGGATGTTTTTATAACATTTCCATAACGTTTCGTAAAATGTTTAAGGGATGTTTTTATAACATTTCCATAACGTTTCGTAAAATGTTTAAGGGATGTTTTTATAACATTTCCATAACGTTTCGTAAAATGTTTAAGGGATGTTTTTATAACATTTCCATAACGTTTCGTAAAATGTTTTAGGGATGTTTTTATAACATTTCCATAACGTTTCGTAAAATGTTTTAGGGATGTTTTTATAACATTTCCATAACGTTTCGTAAAATGTTTAAGGGATGTTTTTATAACATTTCCATAACGTTTCGTAAAATATTTAAGGGATGTTTTTATAACATTTCAATAACGTTTCGTAAAATGTTTAAGGGATGTTTTTATAACATTTCCATAACGTTTCGTAAAATGTTTAAGGGATTGTTTGATAACATTTCCATAACGTTTCGTAAAATGTTTTAGGGATGTTTTTATAACATTTCCATAACGTTTCGTAAAATGTTTTAGGGATGTTTTTATAACATTTCCATAACGTTTCGTAAAATGTTTAAGGGATGTTTTTATAACATTTCCATAACGTTTCGTAAAATGTTTAAGGGATGTTTTTATAACATTTTCATAACGTTTCGTAAAATGTTTAAGGGATGTTTTTATAACATTTCCATAACGTTTCGTAAAATGTTTAAGGGATGTTTTTATAACATTTCCATAACGTTTCGTAAAATGTTTAAGGGATGTTTTTATAACATTTCCATAACGTTTCGTAAAATGTTTAAGGGATGTTTTTATAACATTTCCATAACGTTTCGTAAAATGTTTAAGGGATGTTTTTATAACATTTCCATAACGTTTCGTTAAATGTTTAAGGGATGTTTTTATAACATTTCCATAACGTTTCGTAAAATGTTTAAGGGATGTTTTTATAACATTTCCATAACGTTTCGTTAAATGTTTAAGGGATGTTTTTATAACATTTCCATAACGTTTCGTAAAATGTTTTAGGGATGTTTTTATAACATTTTCGTGTCAGCTGGGTAATAGCTAACCAGGATCGTCTCGACATAAATTATACCGCAAAAGAAATAGCTAAATCCGCGGGTAGAGCGCTCGGCGCTATAATTAGCAAATTTAAAGTAATGGGTGGAATGCCGATCGAGGTTTTCATTAAATTGTACGATAATCTGGTTCAACCGGTGTTATCCTATGGTTCTGCTATTTGGGGTTATCGTGAGTTTGGATGTATTAACGCTGTCCAAAATAAAGCGTGTCGTTTCTACTTGGGAGTTGGTCTCAAAACCCCTAACTTGGCGACTCGCGCAGAATTGGGGTGGCTATCACCTCTAACGAAACAAAGAATCGATATCTCATGTTTTCGGTCAAAATTGAATAATGCATCCCCCAAACGTTTGATTTGCCTCATTAAAACCTGGTCACGAAAATTCAGTAAATCCTGAGATAACACTGTGCTAAACATGCTTAATAGTTTACAGCTCCTTGGTTTAGATGTTTATAATGTCTCACCGACAGATTTACATATTATTAAAGAAAAACTAATTAGTATTGATGGTGAAAGTTGGCATAGTGCCTTATGGAACGATTCTGGTCAGCCTAACGGTAATAAACTCCGAACATTTCGATTATTTAAGAACACGCTTCATACTTCCTTTTATGTCTACAATAACTGGAACAGGTCAAACCGTAGCTGTTTAGCTAAACTTCGTTGTGGCACTCTTCCGTTAGAAGTTGAAGTTGGGCGATTCTCTCGCCCTATAACACCACTGTCAGAACGTACCTGTAAGCTGTGTAACTTAGATAGAGTTGAGGACGAAACGCACGTTTTAGTTACTTGTGACCTTTATTCAGACCTAAGATATAACTTATTCCATTAAGCGTCTTTAATTAACCAACCCATTGTTTGTGGTATGACTCCCAACTGACCAGCCTTCTTTATGCAATGTGATGAATTATCGGCAAGCCTTACCGCTTTAGTGAACCGGATGTTTCAGCGTAGAAAGCATTTTACAATAACTAGTAATATGCCATAGGCCCGGGCGCACGCCGTCTGACTCGCAATGCTACCTGGGACAGCTGCTACCTGTATACAATGTCGGATCTAAAGTGTTTGCCAACGTGACATGATCAATACAGATGTAGCCTTAACCCACTTACCAACCTACCTGACGATCGATCACTCACCATGCACTGGCGTTAGTCCTAGGTCGTTACCGGGGTTACAGAATCAGCAGTATCGACGCAATTCTCTGCTTCAATAACTTTGATCACCGCCTGTCGGAAGACAAGTGGTGTTTATTTCAAAGGTTGCTGTGGTTTATTACAAATATTTAGTCCTTTGTGATGTCATGTTCGTTTTTCTATCAAATGTTTCCCCTTGTCATTTTTATGATTCAAAAACTATTAAATGCTAAAATATCAAAATTAGAAAAAACATGTAAGCCTTCAACATCCCCATTGTAACTGTCTCTACATAATTTCCAATTCTTCGTTTTTAAAACACTCTTCTCACACTTGGTAATTGCACGTGTATTATTTGTCTTTAGTTGGACAACGTAAAGACAAAATCATATTGAATGTTCAATTTTGCTTTGTTTCAGATCATTAACGCAACACATGTTTGCAGGAAACACTGTAAACTATTTACAATCTTTTGTTTGCTTGATTGTTTGTTTCTTTGTTGTTCAACGCCGCACTCAGCAATATGCTGTAAATAATCGAGTCTGGGCCAGACAATCCAGTGATTGACATCATGAGCATCGATCCACGCAACTGGGATCGATGACATGCATCAACCAAGCCAGCAAGCCTGACCAGCCGATCACGTTAGCCGCCCCTTACGACAAACATAGTCGCATTTTACGGCAAGCATCTTTTAACCATCTTTTAACCCCCCACCTTCCGCTCTCTGGGCGGACGCTCTACTACTAGACCACGTATTGTCATCAAAGGCTCCAATCCCTCCCAGGTAAGTGTGATCTTGTTCAAGAACTACTTCTCATTTCTTACTTTTTAACTCTGTACGTTGATGGTGTGAGTAGTAGAAAATGAATACCTATCCCGCCTGCCACAGGCGCCCTATGAATATTCATGAACCTAGTGTTATGCTAATAGACATGCATGACGTCACAATGAGAACGGAATCATTATGCATGAATGTTAGGAATGTGAAGAGTGCAGCCTTTCTTAAAATGTCTTTGCCGAGGAATTCTTTATGAATGCCAGCTATATAAGCACTTTAGGTCTGTTTTTTCATACACTTCCTGCAAGTGAAATTTTGTTGTCACCAGATACAGGAATCCGTCTTATACTTGTGCCAGCAGAATCTAAGGGCACAGACAATGAACACATGAAAGTAATTTACAAAATCATAGGATTGCAATCTGTGCATGAGTCAACAGTTTCATACACATTCATATTTGTCAAAACCGCATGATTTAATTATTGACAAATAGGATTTCGGAATGAATGCTATGCCTGTGTCCACAGGTATTCAGTGGATAGTCAATCACCACATGATTTATCTACAAAGTCCTTGGATTGAGGTACTAATTCATATACTAACAATTTATTATACCACTGATAACCAGTACCTGTTTATTTACATAATCCCGGAATGTGAGCACGTTTTAAGCACAAAGTCAGTCATCACATGCTATTGTCTTACACTCCTAGGGGATATTTGTTCGAAATAATCAATCAAAGCTCCGTTTTACTAAAATAGATGTAACTCGCAAAACAAATAATGCGCCCTTTTCTTGCAAACAACATTGAATTGTCCAAAATTAAATTGAGCCCCGATTGTGTTTGACAAAATAATTGATCTTGAAAAGAAAATGATGATCTTAAACCCAAATTCAGCCTCACTTAAGGGAAGTTTATTTGCTTTATATATTTCGTATTGAAGATTCACAGTAAGATTTCAGTAAGAAATGATCTCAGAAGCTAAAGAATACTCTTGAAATAGCATACGCGGTTCCAGACCAGTGATTGACCTGAATGTGTCGAGTTGCACGAGAGTCATTTGACTATAGATTCTGGGAGCAAGATCTGTTGCATAAAACCGATTAATCTTCTGAAATAGATTGTTTGTTGTTTATTTCTTTGTTTGTTTGTTGTTAAACGCCACATTCAGCTATATTCCAGCTATATGACGGCGGTCTGTAAATAATCGAGTCTGGACCAGACAATCCAGTGATTGACAACATGAACATCGATCGACGCAATTGGGATACGATGACATGCATCAACCAAGTCAGCGAGCCTGACCCCCCGATCGTGATAGTCGCCACTTACGACAAGCATAGTCGCCTTTTACGGCATGTAAGGGTTGCTGAAGACCTATTCTACCCCGGATCTTCACGGGTCTGAAACATATTGAACGGGTCTGGTAATGAATCAATGTTTTGTGCACCTTTACTACCTGGTAGTGTATCAGATAAGTCATTTGCAACAGTTTCATCCTCATGTTCTTGTGTCAAAAGCTTTGTTGACAAAACCTTCCTGAATTCAGAAAACATGGTGGGGTAATGGTAAAACCACACTTTATATGGAGCAACTCATATCTTGAATTATAAACGATTTATTTCATCTTCTACGACAAGGGCAAAAAAAGAAATATCTATAAATGAATGGAGTGAATGAACAAAAAGGCCAAGCTTATATACAATTACGACACTCATCATTAAGTGGCCATACATGAAACTGGGAATTTGAAAATAACGAGCACAGAGGTTGTTTGAATGAAAACAATGTTTTGTTTCGCCTATCAAGTATTCTCTTGGGTTCTGATATTATTCATTACCTCAATTCCAACGTCATGTGACTGAATCTCTTCCAACAGATACCCGTGAAGATCGGGGGTAGAATAGGTCTTCAGCAATCCATGCTTGACGTTAATGGCGACTAACGGGATCGGGTGGTCAGGCTCACTAACTTGGTTGATGCATGTCATCGTATCCCATATGCGTTGGTCGATGCTCGTACAAGGGGCACGGGTGGCCCAGACGTCTAAGGCGCCGCAATTCGCAGTGCAGAGTTGCGTCCCTTGAGCACTACAGAAACCTATCATTTTGGGTTCGAATCCCGGTTCGCACCGATTGTTTCTCGGTTTGTCAGCACCATACCCGTGCTCATGGGTTTCATGGGTCTCAGACCTGCATCATTTCGGGCTTTCCTCCCTCATTAAGCTGACACGCCGTGATGTAACTGGAATACTGTTAAAAGCGGCGCTAAACCCAACTCACTCTTCACTACTATATAAACAAATAAAATTCTAATGTGCCCGAATGGGACGCAACCGCAAAAAGTACCAGAATTTGTACTTCACAAAGAAAGTGTTATCCCAAATATAATATTTGTTATGAAAAAAAGATTGCCTCAATAACTATACAACAAAAATTAAAACTCTTCTCAACTAGTTATTTACAATAAATGCACAAAATAGCCACACTAACTGACATTGTTAAGCGAATGTAGTTTGTGCTGCAATCCGATTGACGGAAAAACGTTGTTAAATGAATGTATTTTCCCAGAATTGGGAAACATGAAAAATAACATGGAAACAAGAACACCTGGTATCATCACTATTTGATAGTGATTCATAAACACATGCTCATGAAATAGTCCGAAATGTACAATCGACTCTGCTTTATACAGAAATTTCTTTTAGATTCTGAAAGGGTCTTGTCACTTTATATTATCATTATTGTTACAGTTCCAGTGACAAAATAAGCTTCATGAATTTATGTTTTTGAATTATTTATTAACTGACAGTATTTCAAGTATTATGAAGTTATACTTATGTTCCATTTAGGTTGAGTAAGAGTTTGTTGGTATTACTCCCTAATAGAAAAGGTTTATTTCCTAAATGAATAATGTTATGATTAAATTATCAAAAGTCTAACAGGAAATTACCTGCTAACCAGAATCGAGGTTGTTTGACTCACGTATGAATGAAACCAGGATGTTACTCTCCAAGTAATCTCAAACGTAATAAGATTTCAATCAATGACCTACGTTCGCATTTGTTCATCATAATAGCTCTTATAGCTTGGATATTGCGGCGTAAAACAACAGTCACCCATTCAACCTTCTCTATGTGGGTTACAATGTACATGTATTACATCTGAAACAGTGAGTCACCCTGTCTTATCCTGGCTGAGACTATGAGGATTGGCGTGCAGTAAAGTTTCAATGGCTGCACATTCTTCGACAAACAATTATTGTAGAATCATTGCAAACGTGTAAGTAATTTAGAAGAATTTACCACTGATTCAAACGACTACATCTGAAATTATTATCTTTGTCTGAGAAATGAAATATACAAATAGGAAGTCAGTCAACACTCATCAACCTAAATAATCGCAATTGCAATGGTGAAAGGTATGCCAAGATAAAAATCAGTATTTAGAATTATTCTTAGCGGCGACTGGACACTCTAAATAAGGCAACTGCAAGTCTAAACTACTTCTATTTTTTCCATATGACATCAAATGGCCAGCTTTTGTACTGATTTGGGTCTAATTTCTGACCCCCGATACTTGGTGCATATGCAGAATACTGCAATCCTAATAACAAATCTACCAGGTTTTTCCCATTAATGTCTGTTTTCATAAGTACCCATTCCATCATAATTGCAGGAACTTCTATCTCTTTGAAAAACCTTTTTGAACCGCTGAGAACAAAATATTCATACTCTTGTATGTCCATTTTTAAAACGGCCTTCTTGAATGGCAAGTAGGGTAATGTATCGTCTAGAGTGATAGTATACGAGTCAGCGGATTCCTCACAGGGGGATTTAGTAGAAGACCCAGACGATGCCACAACGCTTGTCCCTCCAACGTTGCCAACTTCACGCATGAAATTCACAAAGGAGTGGTTTCCTCCAAGTGGATTGAATATGATGGTCATCCTGTCTGTGAAGCCACCTTTCTGAATAGACTTACACAGTCTCTGGACGTTCTCTATGAGCGGATCCACAGATACCACCTTCCTCCCGAACTTGGCCACAGACAGGGAGAAGGCGCCAACATGAGATCCTAGATCCATGAAGCCAAGTTCAGGGTCTTTTTTTAATTCTGACAGAACGAGGTTGATATTTCCAGGTTCCCAAGCTCCCTTCTGTTTTAGGTCCTTAGACACCCACTTATCAACCACGATGTCGTGTATATGGATCGGTGTCTCCCCAGACGGTGTCTTCAGAGGAACACAGTCAACGTGGACAGTCCAAGTGCAGAACTCGTGAAGCTGCTGCATCTGTCTTCCGTTGAATCTGTACACTAAGGTTTTACCAGGACTGGGGCTTGACCTGGACGGTGGAGTCTGGCTACTATCAGACTGAAACCGTATTTTATCATTTACATTTCCTGGGGTTTTATCAGCACTGGCAGCAGACATGGAAGAGACAGCAATGCTGTCATCAGCCAATCTGTATGAGAAGTGAGGCAGGACCACATGTTCAAAGACCAGCATGCAGAAGGCACCAGCACCCATGAAAATCATCAGCGACGATTGACGGAAATTTACCATTATGGCTGGGGTTGACAGGTGGCAAGAGGTAAATCTGAAATAGGAAGGAATATGAGAAACATTCAGTTACATGACAGGCTGTTTCTTACTGTAGATGCGAACTGACCAGACGGCACCAAAACTGTGCCCAAAAGGACCAATATGTCATGAATGTCTTTCAGAGTGTGTTAAGCCAGTGCATGATATTGACATAGGCAGAATGATGTCATTCAAAGTCCGACTGCCCAATGTGAAAAGTTTGTAAACGTAACGGATCACTTAATTCCTTGATCCAGAGGAAATGTACCTAAATGTAGTTACCATACTGTTAGTTCCATCCCTATTCCAAAGGGTCAGGACAATTTCTCAAAAATGAAAGCAAAAGCCATCCGAAGTTTACTGAGAAAACAATGTGCGAAATGCTGACTTCTTGTTTTAACACTGATGTGAAATGGGGGGTTCAGACATTTAGGCAATAAGTTGGAATTCCAATGTACACCATTTGTGCTCCCCTTCTGACTGATCTGTTTCTTTATTTAATATAAATCGGAATTTATGCTTGTATTGTCAAAATCAAAACAAGGCAATTTGACGTTTAACTTAAGCTTCAGGAATGTCGATGATCTGATATCGTTCAAGAATGGTAAAAAAACAATTCCTTTCCACTGATTTATCCCGTCCGAGTAAGAAATAAAAAAGGTGAGTGAAACCATCTCATCTATATCCTATTTAGATATATGCAAAATCTCTCCACAATATTGTATGACAAAACAGAACAGTTTAAGGGAGTTTTTAAGTTTTACGACCACACCATGTCTACCGGTGAGTGATCTGGAGTCAGTAGTTAAGCCGCACCTATAGATGCATCTGAAGCAATATTTAGTCACCTACCAGCGCGCACTACTGCCTGCGTAGCTCATGAAAAGGAAAACCACCTTTGAAGTGTTTGTAGAGCACAAAAGGCTCATGGATGCATGGCGTGCAGCCCGGCAACCAAAGGAGCTAGCTTGAGGTAATGGCAGTTTACACTGTCATGGAAGTTCATTAGTCAATATTGATATATCCGGGGCGGATACAGAAGCCCTGCTCTATAAAGTTGTCCACGTTTTGTCAACACTGACCTTTTTATCTGGTGTCTACAAGCAGCATCCTGTCGGTCTTTCTAAAAACTTTATTTGTTTGTTTGTTTGTTGTTTAACGCCGCACTCAGCTATATGGCGGCGATCTGTAAATAATCGAGTCTAGACCAGACAATCCAGTGATTGATATCATGAGCATCGATCTACGCAATTGTGATACGATGACGTGCACCAACCAAGTCAGCGAGCCTGACCACCCGATCCCGTTAGTCGACTCTTACGACAAGCATAGTCGCCTTTTACGGCAAGCATGGGTTGCTGAAGACCTATTCTAACCCGGATCTTCACGGGTCTTAGTTGCTGTGAGATAATTGAAATACGGGATGGCCGACTTTATTTAGAAAATTATTGTGTCCTGTTCACGTATTGTCCAGCGAAATGGGTGAATAACTACAACCAGGGACATAACACGTCACATGCCATCCCTGATATCTGGACAGACCCGTGAAGATCCGGGGTAGAATAGGCCTTCAGCAACCCATGCTTGCTGTCATAGGCGACTAACGGGATCGGGTGGTCAGGCTCGCTGACTTGGTTGATGCATGTCGTCGATCCCAATTGCGTAGATCGATGCTCATGATATTAATCACTGGATTGTCTGGTCCAGATTCGATTATTTACAGATCGCCGTTATAGAGCTGGAATAGTGCTGAGTGCGGCGTAAACAACAATGTCTCTCTCTCTCTGATATCTGGACAGTGAACGGTAAGGGGTTAAATACCTTGTTTACTGATCAGCAGCAAACTTACACTGTTCACTAAACATGGTCAAATAGAAAATCTGTACCTGAAAGAACCTAGCGCTGAACCAGGAAACAACCAACAAGTACCATACAATCAACAAATGTATAACAAAATTAACCAAGTTTGTAAAGCAATACAAATTACTGCACAGCAATTGTAATGGCAGTACACAATAGAGTCATATTACAATATTCAATGACAGTATATAATATAATGAAAGTGGTGAGTATCAAATACACAAATACAGTGGTGATAGCAAAAGTCAGTGATAATATTTATTCACACAGCGACGACAGTGGTCAAGCTTCCGAGACGGGCTTGGCAGGGATGATTAGAGATCCTCACATGAAAGCTGGTTCCAAAGCGATGAAATGCGTGAGAGATACGAAAACACGCTATTTCCCCTTTCATGGTCTAACCAGCTACTAGAAAGTTCCACATACTTCCCTCATAACACAGAACATTACAGAAATTTCCATAACGTACTGTCACCGTCCGCGGTTTACAGGGACGGAAGTTTTCACGCCAAGCTCCTCACAGCGATAGCCCGTTTGCGAAGCTCTCTATACTATCGCTGCCGCCAGTCAAAGCTGCCCACTATGAAAGGTGACCACAACCATGCTTGGAGTTGAACTCGCAAGTGAATGACCATTATGAATACAAACAAGTGATTACTGCCGTGACGCCGAATACTCAAGCTTCATTATTTTCTTTGTTTGTCAATTTGAATTTCTATTTCATTCCAACTATCATGTAATTGATATAGTTAAGTATTGACTCTGTATCTTGTTCAGTTCATTGAATCGAAAACCGATGCGAAAACTGTTTGATTCCCCGACATTCCATTGTAATAAAAGTAGTCCGCCTTAGTGGGCGTGGCTGTTTTGTTTTACATTCATTCGGAAATGAATGCAATAACACGTGACCAACTCAGCTAATCAGAAATCAGGGGGCACGGGTGGCCCAGTCGTCTAAGGCTTCGCGATTCGCTGTGCAGAGTTGCGTCCCTTGGGCACACCAGAAACCTATGATTGTGGGTTCGAATCCCGGTTCGCCCCGATTATGTTTCTAGATTTGTCAGCACCATACCCGTGCCCGTGGATTTCACCGAAGTGGTAAACGTCTGAGACCTGCATCACTTCGGGCTTTCCTCCCACATTAAGCTGACACGCCGTGATATATTTGGAATAATGTTAAAAGCGGCGTTAAACCCAACTCACTCACTCATTAATCAGAAATCAGGAATTACAATGAATATGATAATTTTAGGGCTAAGATCGTTTCGAAAATCTAGGCCCTGGATCCCCCAAACTGGATGAAAAGGAGCTCAGAAGCCAGGTTGACATCCGAATCAGATCGAGCCATTGGGTGAGTGATCCTTGGTAGGTCTTCAAACCTTTTTCTGACAATTGCTAGTCAGGAGTTAGGTGAACTACTTTCTGGGGAAGTTAAACAAAAGTTAATCGAAAGTGTTAAATTATTCGCGGAACAGCTGTTTAACCTAGCTGAAGAACCTTTTGCAGGAGTAGGGCATAATGGCCATGGACAAGCCATTACACGTCAGTGAGTTTGTTTCCTTTCAGATGGGTTAGACATCTATGTAAAACTGAAGGTAATAAGAGAGAACCCTCCAAACCTTGCCACAGCCGTAACCTGTGAAATGCATGAACACAACTTAAGAACAAGGTCCAATTTAAGAATAGGGAAACCTAAAGCAAATAGACATGTGCCAAATTCGTTTAGAACAGAGCAACCAATGGCGGTAGACCATGCCCGACCTCAGACATGTTACGATTGTAACACATGGCTAGGAATTGCAGAACCCATATAGACCCAGTATAAATGCAATTCAGACTGAAAGGGGTGGTGCCAACATTCAGTTGTTGTGTTGGATATGCAGGCAACCAGGTCATTTCAAGCGAAAACGTCCAATCAGTAGACAACACACAAAATACGCTAAAGAGTGAGTGAGTTTATATATCCCATTTGTTTTGAAATGCTATTATCCTTGTTTAATAAAATCTTATTATCTGGTACTTATCCAGAGGAGTGGACTTTAGGTGTCATTCTTCCTTTCCATAAAAAGGGTAATGTAAATGACCCTAGCATTTACAGACCTATTACTCTTTTATAAATATCTGGCAAAATCTTTTCTAAAATTATATGTACTAGACTCACCAACTGAGCAACTGATGGAAATGTTATTATCCCTGAACAAGCAGGATTTAGAAAGGGGTTTCAAACTGTGGATAATATATTTATACTTCAAACTATTATTGATAAATATCTAAGATTACATAAATAGAGGTTATCACGCTTGTGTGTTTGGGTATGGTAAATATCCTGCATTAGGAATAAACATTGTATTTAGCGAGCCTTGGCGAGCTAAATACATAGTGTTTATTCCTAATACAGGATATTTACCATCCCCAAACACACAAGCGTGATAACCTCTTTATCATATAATGTCATGCTTTAATTCTGTGCTTTAAAACCGCTATCCCTCTCTCACAAACATTACCGAAACATTGCGAGTTTTCCTGGAATGCGCGCTTTAATATTTATTACGTCACAGGGTAAGTGATGTGTCAGTCGGACAGTGACAGTAGCCAATATAGTTCCAACTGAAATCTCTTTCTTATACAGTGGCGAAGCAACATATACGCAAAACAACAGTTGTTTTTAATTGCCTTTCGCGGCAATCCATCGGTCTGTCCGCTACAGTAACTGCCCTTTGTCAAAGGGAAGCTACTCTAACCCTAGTCTATGAGACGTCACGGGCACGGTCAGACGTTGTTGACAGTCGGTCTGTCCTGTCATAAGGTTAAGAAGTGTAGTCAGATGTACACACAGCGACAAAACCAAACAAGGTAACAATTCAAACATATTTCGGCCAAATCCAACAATTTTAATTTGTGGAGAAGGTTTCAAGTCGCAGAGGTCTACAAGCACAGATATTGCTACTGATCCCGCTTGGCTAGGCCTCGCGCCCTCGCAAAATTGTTTCGAAATTAATACCTCCAAAGTAGCCAAAACTTATAAAATGCCTTAGCTACGTCACAGTTAGACACTGATTTTCAGTATATTAGACTGTTCTTTTGATAATGGTAGCAATTATCCCTGTTGTTTATCCAGATTCCCGATGGTTAATTTTGACTCGATCGCCGAATGAC